CGTGTGTTCGTTTGGGGCAAATCCCTCAGCATTCCTGCTGCCAAGCCCTCAAAGGAATGAGGCAGAGGCACCCCTCACCCCCAAGACCCCTTCGTGGACATTTTAGCATCTACGTGATTTTTAATCCCTTCAGGGAGACGTTCTCTCCTGCAGTCCCATACCACCCCGCTGTTGCTGTATTTTTTGCCAGCTGGGTCGAGCATCAAGGGGAAGAGGGGTTAATACTCACTGAAAGACTACTGATCCTACCGGGAAACCAACCTATTTACTGTACTGTTGTAAATATCATATCCTTTATATCCTGTATATTGGCTTCTTTTAAATAAAGTGAAATGTCATAGAAAAAAAGAAGAAAAAAAAAAAGGCAAGGCAGGGCGGGACCCAGGAGCTCCAGAAGCCGCCTGATATGGCAGTAACTCTATCAGTAAGCACTCTGAAAGTCAGTGGCATAAATGCACCAATTAAAGGACAGATTATGAGGGTGAATCAAAAACAAAACCCACTTTAAATATAAAGACACATATAGATTAAAAGTAAATTAATTAAGCTGCAGCCTGTTTTGCTCAGTGGACAGAGCATTAGCCCTTGGACAGAAGGGTCCCAGGTTCGATTCCAGTCAAGGGCATGTACCTCAGTTGCCAGCTTGATCCCCAGTCCCTATCAAAGCATGTGCAGGAGGCAACCAATCAATGTGTCTTTCCCTTTCCCTTCACTCTCTCTAAAATTCAATGGAAAAATATCCTTAGGTGAAGATTAACAAAAACAAAGTAAATGGATTAAGTAACATTAAAGAGATTATAAGAAAAATATATTCCAAATTCTGTTAGTTGTATAATGGTTATGTTTAAATTATTAACACCTAAGAAATTGGGTGAAGGGTACATATAATATGCTGTAGTATTTTATAATTTTTTTTACATGTATGAGATTATTTCAAATTAAAATATTAAAAAATTAAAAATTAATAAAATATTAATTGAAATGTGCATGCATTACATGAAAAATCTCCTAATTGCTTCTAGCATAATATATTAAATTGTGCTAAAATTTACAAGGGTTCAATTAAAAAATATCTTAATTCTAAATGATATAATAGAAAAAATATAATAGTGCAGTTATAAGCACTAATATGAAAATGAAAATTTAAAGAAGTGAATTTAAAGAAGGGATTAGCTAAAGAAAATATATGCACAACCCATGAACACAGACAACAGTATGGTGATGGCCAGAGAGAAGTGGGGGGCAAGAGCTGGGTAGAGGGGGTTAAAGGGGGGAAATAGGGACATCCTATATAATAAAATAAGGCTAATATGCACATTGACTGAACGACAGAATGACCGGTTGCTATGATGCGCACTGGCCACCAGGGGGCAGTGACTCAATGCAGGAGCTGCCCCCTGGTGGTCAGTGCACTTCCATATGGGGAGTGCCACTCAGCCAGAAGCTGGCTCATGGCTGGCCAGCGCAATGGTGGTGGCAGGAGCCTCTCCCACCTCGTGGTAGCACCAAGAATGTCCAACTAACGGTTTAGACCCGATCTATTGGGGGCCTAAGCCTTTCTTGGACATCCCCCGAAGGCTCCCTGGTTGCCAGAAGGATGTCTTACTGCAAGCTTAGGCCTGATCCCCCAGGGAGTGGATCTAAGTTGACAGGTGGACATCCCCCAAAGGGTCTTGGACTGTGAATGGGCGCAGGCCAGGCTGAGGGGAACCCCCCCCCCCGAGTGCACAAATTTTTGTGCACTGGGCATCTAGTCCTATATAATAAAAGCCTAATATGCTAGGTGTCTGGTCAGCCATTCATCCAATCAAAGCATAATATGCTAATGATATGCTAATGATATGCTAATGCCACTCAACCGCTCGCTATGAGGTGCACTGACCACCAGCGGGCAGACGCTCTGACCGGTAGGTTAGCTTGCTGCTGGGGTCCGGCCAATTGGGACTGAGCAAGATGGGATGGACATGCCCTGGAGCCCTCCTGTGGTCCCTCCCTGGCTGGCCAACCCACCTCATCCCTCCCCGGCCCCGATCTTGCACTGGTGGGGTCCCTTGGCCTGGCCTGTGCCCTCTCGCAATCTGGGCTGAGGGGACACCCCCCCCCCCGAGTGCATGAATTTCATGCACCGTGCCTCTAGTATTTCCATAATTGTGCAAAGTTGCTATTTCTAACGTTTTCAGAAAGAGAAATTGATAATCTAATTAACCAGTTAGTATTTAAGGTAGTGATTTCTTAGTTGAAAAAAAATCATTTCAGGAAATAAAGATTAGAAAAACTTGAAAACAATAACATATTTCTGTTTAACTTTATTCACTAGACCAGTACTTTACATCCAGAACCAACTATAAACATTATGGTGCCATCAATGATTGCTTTTTGAGTGTGTTAAAATTAAAATGGTAATTTCAATTTTTATTCATTAAGACAAGGAATAAAATGGAATTGAATACTAATTAGTGCATGTGAGTCATACACCTGAAAAACTAAGGGACTACTATACTCATTTTAAGTGAGTTTAAGCAAAGTGCTCAAATGTTTCATTTGAAGGACTGATTAAAAATTAAATGACAAGAAAATTAATAATGTTCAACACAGAAAATTTGGTACATGATCTGTCTTCCCAGAGCCCCTTGAATATGATTATTTTTAAGGGATAACCTTTTATATTTTCAAAAAATAACTTAGAAAGTAAATTATTAAATAATATGATTATATAATATATACTCTGAACACAATCACAAATATATATATATATATATATATATATATATATATATATATATATAGGCCTATATAAAAGCCTAAACAACTGTTATGACCAGATGAGCGGCCAGTAGCTATGATGCACACTGACCACCAAAGGGCAGATGCTTAATGCAGAAGATGCCCCCTGGTGGTCAGTGCGGTCCCACAGACAACCTCCTGCGGTCCTCCCCCAGGCCCGCCAATCCCGATTGGCTTCGATCACCAGCCAGGCCGAGGGACTCCACCTATGCACAAATTCATGCACCGGGCCTCTAGTTAATGAATAGCAATGGTGAGCTTTCAATTTTCCTCCCATTATCTGTAAGATATCTTCATTCAATATGAAACCCTTTTTATTTACTTTTACTGTTATTCTCTAAGACCTCATTATCATCTGCACACTAATAGCAAAATAATTATAATAATAGTAATCATAATAAACTGCCCTTAAAAGTAAAAGAAATATTTAAATATTTTACATAAATTGACCAAGTTATATTTATCTACCTATTATCATGGGCTTACAAAATGTTCATTTATACTTTGAAAGGCATAATGATGCATTAGTGTTAAGTAAGCAACGGACTGGAACAAACTAAAATGAAATATGGGAACATCAGAATATCAGAAATTTTAATGCAGGGTTTCTCAGAGAAACCACTGCAAAAATATGTTATTTATAGTTTATCGAAAACATGGCAGTCACTGAAGCTCACAAACATAATCTAAACAGAAACCTTGATACAAACTGATGATACCATCTGTCAATTGTCCTGCAATTTCTGTTCTAAATCTTAATTTCTAAAGTTTTATCATGAACTAAATTCCACTAATGCATTTCATAATAGTCAAATAAAAATAATGGCCTCTGGATTAATTTTTAGCAAGTAGAATGCAAGCACTTTCGGGGGTTGGCGAGGGTCTATTTTAAACTATGATGGGCTATTCATTAGTCTGGGATCGAAACTATAAGGATGTGCCATTTCCCTTATCTGGAATTCTCAATGCATATGTGGCTATAGATTAGAAAAATAATGTGTAATGTAAGAAGGAATTTCTGCAAATGCATGCAAATATAAATTCATAAAACAACAAAAAATATCAGGTAGCCACATAAGAGTCATATGGATGAAATGAATGTATATAGGATATGTAAAAATTCACAAGAAACCTGAACAAAGAAATCATGTGAAGGAGATTATGCTCCTATTCCTAAAATAAGTTATTTGGCCATAAATCAATTTTCCTTCCTATCAACTGCATGTAAAGCAACCCCTATACATTGCACCTAATAATTTCATATCAAAGCATCCCGTGTTAAAAATTGCCTTGGCACAAAATATGTAGTAAATAGATAAAACAGATCAGCTATCTAAACAAATCATAATTCTGTAATAGCTTCCTATTCCAAAGAAACAAGGACACACCTTTTAGCATGTAAAAACCCTAAGGCGCACTAAACTCCCACACTACATGTAAACACTCCAGCAGCCTATACGCAAAACATGATTTTCTCTGTGATGTTCCCCAGATTCTCACCTGACCTCTCTGATCATGCTATTCCCTTGGCTTTTAGTCCCTATTGAAAGCCATTTTTCTAAGGCCAACTTCAAAATCTATCTTTCCCATGAAGCTTTTCATGATAATTACTTACTTCTTTCTCTGACTCCATTGTGTACTGGATTTTCCTTCTATTTAGCACTCATCAATGACTTGTTAGATATTATTAATGTGCTCACCCTCCCTCCAACAGAGCAATGATCTTTTCACAGGAAACTGGTTTGAGCACCTTTTGTGTCCTCCTAATAATTTACTGTCTCACTTCAGCTAAGTGGCCAAAAAGCATTTAACTGAATTTAATATAAGGAACTGGAATTGCTACCATCTATTCCGTCTTTGGAAAATCACTTACTGCCTCAGTTGATCATTGTGTTCTCCTGTTTTGAAAAATAGCTGGTTGATGACAATAAATGAAAGTATATATTAAAACACCTTCAGTATTGTAAAAAAAAAAAAAAAACCCTTTCTTTTATATGTACCTTAAAATAGTGAAATTCATAACCCACAAATTTAAAATTTTTAACCCTCTTATCAATGGAACGTAAGTTTTTCACAGTTTGGACATTTAGACTCTTAAGTAAATTATCTTTTCCTCTGTGACCATGAAGAAAAGTCACCCTGGGCTCTCACTGTGTTCTCTCTGAAGCGACTCTGGTCATTCTTTAGCAGTAACCTTATCCCAACCCGTCTGTTACCTGAATCCATGACCATCTGTCATTTTCTGCTGCTGTCCAGGCATTTATAAGCCCCTTCTTATTAAGGCGAGCATAGTAGGGATACCACTTCTGGAGTCCAAACAGGGCTCGGTGGGTCGATGAAGCTGTGATTTGCTGATTTGATATAATTCCACCTTCAATTCCCAGTGGGCCCGAGCATTCTGGAAACAAATCAGAAAAAAAGGAGAATGTTACTAGAAATAACCCACATTTGAAATGCGGTGAGATTTGATATGAGATATTTTAAAAATGATTTTGAATTGTACCATGGCGCCACTTACGCCACACATACTTCACAGATGTTACCGATCACTACATGAAAGAAATATGTCTTGTTCCTCAGGACACTCTCTTCTTCCTTTTTTTGAGTATGGCAACTGAACAGACATTTCCCTTCTGCGTTATGACTGCCTTCTGTACAATTACCCTTCGGCTGGCGATCATGTCAATAAAAGAATAATGCCCTTAAAAGGCCTATCTCATATTTCATACTCCTAGGGACTGGCATGCATCATAAATCATAAGTTCTCAATACATATCTGTTGATCTATTATTTCTTTTCTAGTCTTTCTCTAAGTTTGTATCAGAATCATTTTCACACTGACTTAGCGTTTCGTACTACTATAATTTTTTTAACTTACATTTTTATAACTAGTGTCAGTTATGATTTCACAAAAAAATAAGCAATGTGTAAATCTGTCAACATTTTAAAACATTACGATAATAACTTGTGCTATGTTATAAATAATAGAAAATACGTTGACACATTGTTTTTATAAAGTAAACAGGTAAACTCTCTGACATTATACACAACAGTATGTATACCACTCAGTAAATCCAGATATTAAAATACTTATATTTCTAATTTTTATGTCTAAATTCACAACTACATATTGGGAGTCTGCACTTATATTTTAACTTTCTTCTCTTATTTTTCTTTAAATTCGTGACTTACAAATTTAGGAGAATTTCCTAATAAAAATTTAAAATAGTAAGATTAAAGCATAAAATACTCAAATGTATGATCTCAGATAACAAATTTGTTTAAATTTTAAAACAGAACTAGCGATAAATCCATCTTAAACTTACATATATTTGTATTACATATATTTGACTTTTATAATTATTTCATAATATTTCACCAGAATATACATTTAATTTAAATTCAGTTTTAGAAATTAATTAAGCAATATTATAAATAATTAAAGGTAATATCTTCTTTTCTTAATCTCATTAACATTTTATAAAATGTACTCAATTTTGCTAAATTAGATTTGTATAATAAATATAATAACCCTATTATAAAATATACAATTTTTCAGAATTTCTGAAAATATTAAAAGACCACACTGCCATTATTAAATGCCACTCTATAGAAGCCAACTTGGTCAGAAATGGCCACCTAGCATATTTTATATATTTTACTTACTATTAAAGTCCAGCATTTGTCTGTTATTAAATGTATACATCAGTTTGAGGTTAAAAATATGAAAGAAAGAAATCTTCAGCTGGATTATCATATTTTTAAAATTTACAAAGATGTTTCCACTGGTAACCATTTTTTCATTAAGCAGAAACATGTCTCTTTTTTCTATCTCATAAGCAGAGAATAAGTAGCTCTAAGCACATCACTAACATTTCTCCCATTAGCCTTTAAACACTGTTTATTAAAAAAAGGACAAAAGTATATGGATAAGTAACCATCTTAATCAGACTTTATTTGTAAAATGACATTAATACACCAAAAATTGACTCTCTGTGACTAATGATTAATAAATCATTCAATCGATAAGTTAAATTTAGATACTAAGATCTTTTCTCAAACGTGTAATTAGAGTTGTTTAGCACTTCATGAAGGTGTACTATATCATTTTGAAGTCATTAAATCAAGAAGCCATTCATTTTCAGAATTGTAGTATTAGGAGTTACAGATGATCTGATTTTCACTTTCCAAAATAATTAATGTAGAAAACTCAAATGCCTTTAAATTCTTGCTTTAGTTTCCATTTTGTAAGATTTTTACAGACTTCATGCAAGTACTGAGACGTTCATGGTGACACTTTGATTTTAAACAACTTCAGGAAGCTGACTTTTTAGGAATATTGCCATGAAAGGCATTTCAAGTATCCTTGTCCTTGATTTGTGCAATGTTTGGGTGGAAAAATGCAGCTGGCAGGAAGGCCATTTATTGCAGGCCAGTCAGTAGAATGGCAGACCTAGGAAGCCAGCTTTGATTAATTAGACTGCATGACAGCCTTAGAAAGAACTCTATACCATTTAGTCATGTACTTGTAAACATCCTATGCTGAATTGGACAACTTCACCGAATTTGTAACCATTTAAAAAGTGATTAATCCTCAAACCACACTATTTAATGCCTCCTTTATCAGAACTCTTGACCAACCTCCCTGCATTGGCTGTGAACGGTTGCATTATCATATAAGCCAAAAGCCATAGACTTCAAATCTTTGCCGTGTCCTCACTAGTCATTCATTCAAACAAACAAACAAACTTATATATATGGCTTCACAGTTTACAAAGTGTTTCACATAAGCTGTCTTGTTGTTATGTCAAATTTACAAATACCGTATTTCTTTACTCAGTTCTCAATTCCACATGCTTTTTAAAAAGTAAGTACTTACAACATTCACTTATATCCTGTATGTTGCCAATCAGTAAAACCCAAAAGAAGAAACCTGACTATGGCAGGTGGGGTGGGGGTCGTGGAGTTGGGCGTCTTGAATGAGGCGTGGGTCCACGAGGCATCAGCTTACTTCCTTACTAGTTAGTTCTCCTCAATTTTCCTCATTTTAAAAACTGAGGTTATGATAACACCTAATTCACCAGTTGTGAGGAAATAAAAGGGAAAAAAAAGTGCTTTGCCTGTATGACTACACATTGTTAAAAAATAATGAGCTTGGGTCTGTAAAGTCACATGCACATTTCTCTTTAGCATTGAGGAGACCCTGGCCATTAGCTCCAATGGAGGAGGTGCTGGGTGTGTACACTGTTGCGTCCTTAAATGCTCACAATGTCTTGTACACAGGAAGAGCTCAATAAACATGAGCTGAATACCAGTATGGGGGCCTTTATTTTTCTAAACAGTAAACTAATAAGCAAATCCAAGTTTCATTCTTTACTTCACACCGAAAGTTATCAGGACAGCAGCTTTCCTTCACTATCATTTGGACTACATCAAATGGATGTCATCATAATAAAAAGTTCAAAATCCAATTTCCTTTTGCCTGTGCTATCTACCTCCCCAATGTCCTATTAAATTCAACAGTTATAGAAACTAATGAAGGAGTTGCAATTCAGAATGCAAATGATCATACACTTAAGATTAAGTGACCTTGAGCAGCAAACAAGAAGATGCTTAAAAGAAAGATAATATGGAGCTGTAGATTGCTACCACTATCAAATAAAGGAGGGAAGGGTATGAAATAATGGGGAATTTAATATTATATAAGCATTCTGAAGTTTAAAAGAGTATCCACACGTAATTCCTCACATATCAAAATAATATTTTAAGGAAAAAAGTTATTATGACTATATAATAAATGAGGAATCTTGTGAGGAGGGAAGTTAAACTTGTAAAAGGTGAGTATGGAATTTAAGCCAAAATGCTCTGCTTCATAAACAGAAAATAATATCAATTGATGAAGCAAAGCGTTCAGCAATTCTTCACAAGCTGATTCTGGAATGACCTGTTTTTGTCCTACCTGCTATTGCCATGCTGAACCTGGTGGGCTCCAGTCACATCAACCAGGCTGCAGGGACAGAACTGAAAAGTGAAAACCTGCTTCTTTTCTCAAACCATACCCAGAACTTCCCTGCCCCACACCTCATCCATGTGTATCATGTGTGTCCATATGTTTTCCCATAAAATGGGGAGCCCCTTAGTAGTTAGGGATTACATCCTTCATAGTACCTAGCAGCAAGCCTTGATCCTAGCAGACACCTAATAAATACTTATAGAGGAAGTTAATTATGAAATAAATATGAAGGGTAAATAAACAGTGAAAGTTTTAGCTAACATTGTAATACTCTATTTGTGTAATCCTATATAATAAAAGGCTAATATGCAAATTAGCCAAACAGCAGAACAACCAGTCACTATAATGCACACTGACCACCAGGGGGCAGACACTCAGCGCAGGAGCTGCCACCTGGTGGTCAGTGTGCTCCCACAGGGGGAGCGTCGCTCACCCATAAGCTGGGCTCACGGCTGGCAAGCGCAGAGGTAGTGGGGGGAGCCTATCCCACTCGGAGCCTCTCCCACCTCTGTGGCAGCACTAAGGATGTCTGACTGCCGGCTTAGGCCCGCTCCCCAAGACTAGCGGGCCTAAGCCATCAGTTCGCCATCCCCTGAGGGCTCCCGGACTGGGGGGGTGCAGGCCGGGCTGAGGGAGGCCCCCTGCCCCCCAGTGAATTTCGTGCACCGGGCCTCTAGTTCATTTTATAAATTAAAAATATAATTTTGCCTACTTTCTCAAGAGTATACGGATATAGATGCCTTTTGAAATCATCCATAAGCTAAGTGAAGAGGAAGGACATCTCTTTAATAATAAAAAACAAACAAACTGACAGTGGAGTGGGTTACTTCTTTCAAATAGATGCCACTCAGCCAGCAGGTGTTTCTGAAATTGCCTACTGTTATCCCCAGAGTGGGCCCAGTGGCAATTTGATCAGCACAAAATATGGCAGGAGGATACAGGAATCAACATTTCTGATCATTAGATCTATGTTTGTGCATCTTTGGTATTATGCTTGCTTCTGTCAGACCTGACAATAATCCTAATTTAAGGATTCCAATCAACATTGATTACCAGAGGTTTTAAGGCATCATTTATATAATCAGTTAAAATAACTACATTGCCTGAGTCACCTGAGTGCCTTCTGACCTGAGGCCCTGCTGTTCTGTTCAGACAGAATGAGTAAGTGCGTGATGTCACCTGGCAGGTTGAGCAAGAAGAGCAGCTGGGCCAGCTGGGGCCAAGCCTGCCGTGCCCACCACAGAGCACTCCCCCGCTTTTGCCAAATCCTGGGGAATAAAACAGCTTCAAAGTGAAGTCCTCACTCTGCAAACTCATCCTCTGGAGTGTGGCAAAGAATGGCGTCTGCATTTTATTGATCTTGTAGCTGACAAGTAAGCAGTGCC